AAATAGTATTGGGTAGATGACAGTAACACAGAGAACCTGTGAGTTTAGCCGAGGTGGCCTATGGTTCTTCCCATAACTACTGATAAGTGTGAGCTACAGAAATGAAGGCCAGTTTACTCACAGTGCAAGGAAAATTAAGTGGACCTTGGAGAGTAACAAGGACTTACTTAGAGGGGAGACTGAGAAGAACTTAAGAAGGGGACACCTGGGTGAAAAACGACAGGTGAGAACAAAGACGTTCACTATGAAAAAACTACGTGCATCATTAAGGGCTGTGGATGCAGGAGACTTGGGCTAGCAGGCCGAAAAAAGCATCATTATAAGTGGGCTGCAGATGGCTCGGGGGTCAAGTGCACCCACTCGGCGGCCAATAACCGTCCTTAAGTCCAGTCCCGGTGGATCTCTCATCCTCTTCTGGCATTCCTGGGCACCAGGCAAGCACATGGTGCACAGACATGCGTGCAGGAAAAACGCCCACACTCAGAAAGTAAACAAATGAAAATGTCTAAATCACTATAAAAAGAAAACCGAGACAGACGCAGAGTAACTCGAGACTGAGATATATGGTAGCGTGCAGGTTACAGGTTAAGGGCCCTAGATTGGCGCTGGAGGACCACAGTCGGAGAACCATACAGGCTAGCTGGTCACCGGCACAGATACAGGAAGACTGCCCTGCTATCTGGTGTAGGAAAAATGCCAAGACTTGAAATCTGGGCCTAAGTAATCACTTCCCAATCAAGGGAATCACCGGCTTCTAAGAAGGGTGATGCACCCGAGTCCTCACGCCCTGGGCGGTAACAACCCTGAGCCCCATGACAGAGCCTTTCACCCAGGCACAGGGGAGGGGAGCAGCTCATAGTGCAAAGAGTGTGAGTGTGTGTGTATACACATATATATGTGTGTGTATACATAAAAATGGTGTGTATACATATATGTGTGTATACATATATATGTGTATGTGTGTACATATATATATATGGGTGTGTATATACATATATGTGTGCGTGTGTATTATATATATGTGTGTGTACATATATGAACATATGTGTTTGTGTATACATATATATGAACATATATGTGTGTGTGTACATATATATGAACATATATATTTGCGTGCATGTGTATACATGTTCATTTAGTCAGTTCTGTTCCTGTTTCTCTAAAGAACCCTGGCTAATATACTGACATTTAGTAACACGTAACAGTTTGAAATCCAGACTCAGCCAGTGGGCAAACAGAAGAAAGCCCTGGCCACATGAGCAGCAGCAGCAGCTTCTTAGAGCAGCCCTGTAGCCTGCTCCCAGCAGAAGACTGTAGGGACTCCTTGATTAAACGGAGCTGAATCACTTTTCTGAGCAGCTCCCAGCAAATCAATCAGTATAAATCATAATTACAGCTATCGCTTATTAAGGGATGCATTAAGCACCAGACACGTGGCACACCGCACTACCTAATCTGACCTCACAGAAACCTGAGAAGAAATCAGTCTCAGTGTCTGTCTGTCTCCCTCCCTCCCTCCCTCCCTCCCTCCCTCTCTCCTCTCTTCCCTGGATACCAACTGCAGGGCCTAGGTGAATTCCCTGCTGCTGAGCAGATCCCAAGCCTTCCTTAGGGCAAACGGGGGAAGTGGGAGTCAGAGACACTAGGTGACTATGCAGGGTGTAGGAAGTAGCAGAGCAGGGGTCAAACCAATGCTGTCCGCTCTGCTTTTGGATTTCAGTCCCCCTTCTCTTGGCCGTGAGCTCTGCCTGATTCCTCCCATGCATCTTTGTTAATATCTCATCCTACCCAAGACAATCAGACTCCCACATAAATATATATATCCCTTGACTTACCTCTCTGCTGGCAGGCTTCCCCACATCCTGTCACCAATAATAAGTTTTTGCTTAAATGTTCCTGCTTAGGAAGGGCAGTGCCTGCAGCCTGCATGCACTGGTCAAATTAAGGTGACTTAATTTTTAAAAGGATACATAGAGTTGAAGGTTAGTTACAGAATTACACTTTTAAGGGAGTACAGTACGTAGCGAATTACACTTTTAAGGGAGTACAGTACGTAGCGCAGTGATCACACACATTCCTAGCCTGTGCCAGGTTCTGGGTTACAGCCTTAGGAACGAAAGTGGGAGGGGAATATTGCACTTTGGCAGAGTCAATTAATTCTATCTTGCTTTTTTTCTTTCAAGATTTAAAATTTTATTTTTATTTATAAGTATATGTATGAATATATGCCCACCACCTGGCATATGAACCAGTGGATGCCAGAAGTATCAGATATCCTAGAACTGGAGTTACAGCAGACCACAAGAGTTCTGAGAAGTGAACTCAGGCCCCTGCAAAAATAGTCAGTGCTCTGAATGGTTGAGCCATCTTTCTACCCTCCGTCCTGCCTCTTTTTTAAGAAATACTGTAAAACTGTGTCTCAGAAAAATATCTTTCCTAAACCAGGATGACAAATAACTGTGATAACTTTAAGTTCCAATGGAACCCCCGACCTACTATTAACGCTCAAGTGAAAACACGACCTCGTTTTCATGGGCTTCGTCTGCCAACAAAAGGTTCCCATTCAACTGTCTCGAGAGACATACTTAACCTTCCTAAAGGCCTAGGAGGTGCAAGGTGCCGCCTGCATAGGGCCTGATAGGTTAATAAAAGCAATGGCCAGTGGTGCGCCAGCAAATGTAACAACTGGCTCTCACGTGACAAAGTCCCAGTTTGGTGCCAGGCACGGTGGCACATCCTGGCAATCCCTAGCAGTCAGGAAGTAGAGGCAGAAGCTCACAGAGTCAAGGTCATCCTTGACTCCCTACCAAGTATGGAGTCAGCCTGGCTTGCGTGAGACCCTGTATCAAACAGAGCATATGTTGTGCTCACCTACCCTTTTACACTCTTGCAGTCCAGGGTCCCCTTGCCTCAAGAGTGGAGCCAATGGTAGCGGGCAGGTCTCCCCCTCAGTTAATAAAACGAAGACAATCCCCACAGACGTGCCCTGGGCAGCCATTCACCGAGACCCCGCCCCGGTGATCCCACATCGTGTCGAGTTAACTAACACTAAACATCAGGGGTGGGGTCGGAGGTTGAGAGCGCTTAGGGACCTTGCAGAGGAACTGAGTCAGTGACCCGACACTGAGTTACACATCTGTAACTCAGGGGCCTCCTTAATCACCTGCACTCATGTGCATATACCAATGGATACGGAGTTTCAAAACAGTAATAAATCTTAAAAAAGAAGAAGAGACACTAACCATACTGGGACTGACCCACATCAGCCAAGAAAAAGGCACATCCTCTTTTTCCTTTTAAGTTCCGTTTTTTATCAGGTGGCTCCTCTTTGGGCCAGTGACTTGGCTCAGCAAAATAAGCATTCTTGCCACCAACCCTGAACTTGATCCCCAGTACCCACGCGGTGGAAGAAAATGGACTTAGGCAGGCACATGCCTCCTACCAATACATAAATGTAATAAAACTGGACGTTCCCTCTTTAGGGAATTCTCCCCCACTCCCCACAGTTATTATTTTTTCTTATAAAATTTTATTTTCCCACTATAAAATAAATATTGTTTTCACCAGAGAATAGAGAAAACATCCAGTAACGAGGTGGGATTGGGGGGGGGGGGGAACCAAAGCTGATGTGATGTCCAAAACCACACTGTAGCCAAGACTGGCCTTGAACCCCTGGTTCTCCCCCTCAACCTTTCAAGTTTGGGGATTACCGGGGTGCGTCTACCACACACAGCACTATAGTATGGACCACAGATGTACACAGAGGCCCACGCTCAAAGGCCTTGTCCCAGGGTGGTACTCCTGAACAATGCTGAGATCTTCCAGAGGTAAGGACTAGCTGTGGCACAAGCTTCCCGGCTGCTCCAGAAGCTGAGGCAGAAAGACCGTAACTTCAAGGCCAGCTTGAGCAACTTAGTGAAACCCCCGCCTCAAAATAACATTAGGAAGAGGAGCTAAGGGTGTGGCTCAGTGGTAGAACACTGGCCTGGTAGGTGGGATTGATGCCCTGTAGCACTCACCAAAAGAGACAGGGTCACTGAGGATTAGGCCCTCAAAGAAAATCCTGGGAACGACGACGGTTCTCTATTGCTTACTAGGCATGGGGTTAGCAGTGTAGTGATATATTATTTATGATTTATTAAAGCTTGACCGAGGATTCAGCCTCAAGCTGTAGAGAACAGGTAGTGGTGATACACACCTTGAATCCCAGCACTCAGAATTGAGAGGAAGACGGACGTCTGTGAGTCCAAGGCCACCCAGATCTACACAACAGTGAATCGGTCTAAAAGAGAATTATGGCTCACACCTTTAATCCCAACATTAGGGAAGTATATAAGACAGAAGCAAGGTCTCAGAGAGAGAGAGACTGATTCACTCTCCAGTCACACCGAGGAGAGGCTACAGTCTGAGGCTTGGTGAAGAGCCCGTGGAGACAGAGTCAGCCTATTCAGCCCGAGGAAGAGGAAAGAAGCTAGTGGCCGGCTGCTTTGCTTTTTGGACTTTAGCTTGAAGTCTGAGCCCCAGTACCAGTCTCTGGGTCCTTTACTTTTCATATTACAAAGCAGCCATGCTCCCATGTGCTGGTCACCATGGCTCTCCAGCATCCTCAGCGGAGGCCTAAGCACACTGCGCCCTCTACTCAAGCACTGTATTTGTAAGAACAGGGGCCATAATAAGCCTTCCTTTTTCTTCTTGATAACCACCTCCGGTATTTGCAATGGAGGTGCAAAGCTGACCAGGGTATCGTCACTGCCCTGTACAGTGACAGCTTATGGGGCGAGCTCTTCCTGGGGAAAGAGCTGCCTGCACCTGCCCTTGCCCTCCCCAAGCCTACCCGATGTCCACCCCGCCCCCAGCATAACACCCAGTCTACCCATATGCTTCACTACAAAGGCTTCCCTGAGCTCTTCATGTTCACACTTAGAGTGGCCTCTCTTTGTTATCCTAAACACGCATTACCACACTCCTGTCCACGGAGCAAGGCAGACTCTTGCTCTTACCTGCATGCCTCTCATTTTCTGGAACCGTGCAATGGTGTCACTCAGAGTGTAGACTCGTACATGGCCCATGTGCAGCTTGCCAGAAGGGTAAGGGAACATGGACAGCACGTAGAATTTGGGCTTCGATTTCTAGGAAAGAGTGACACAGTATGATAGAATGTATGTATTACATATTTTCTGGAAGCTATGCATACGTTAATATTTTGGCACTTTATTCAAGTTAAGTTTCCAAAAGGAAAAAAACAAAATTCCTGCCAGGCAGTGATGGTGCACACTTTAATCCCAGCACTCAGAAGTCACAGGCAAGTAGATATCTGTGAGTTCGAAGCCAGCCTGGTCTACAGAGTGAGCTCCAGGACAGTTTTAAAGGACTGCTTTCCAAATGAGCCTCTAACACAGAGATGAGTCTCTTTCCCAGGTCCCCTTAGCTGTAACCACCTGAACTCCACTGCCGACCACAGTCTCCAGGTATTAGATGGGCCCTGAGGTCGATCCTGTGCACTGAGAGCTTCTCTTTTAACATAGGAAATCTATACATCTGACTGGAATGAAGACAGGACAGGGCGTCCCATGAGGTCGCTACCTTTGGACACCCTCGGTCTTTCCCAGCAGGATGGGGCATGTTGTTAAGAGTTTGTGTACGTCAGAGGACCAGGCCCCAAAGGAATGGATCTAGTCACAGAGCTGGTTGCTTACGGAACACCTGACTTTTCTGGTGCTTGTGGAAAATTCTGCAGTGATGAGGATAGAACTGAGGACCTTGTACGTGCTAGGTGAGTGCTGCATCACTGTACTTCATGCACAACTGCCAGGATTACATGCAATCTCTATATTCACCATGCTAGCACTCAATAGGACTGCAATAACTCTTAAAAGAATGCCTGTTGGCCTTGGGGAAGCACCTTCTAACAAAGGCATGGCCGTTTACCCCAGCAGATTTTACAAATCCTGTCCGGGTGACTGGAGGCTCCCCTAACCAAGCCTCAAATTCTGCCACAGAGCATCTGGAAGGGCGACAGGTTACTGCTGCCCGTGGTCAATGAGGATAGGCTCTCCCTCTTTGGTTCCTACTTCTTCCTAGAATTTTAGGAAGCATCAAGGTTTTGCTTCTCCTAAAGGAATGAATGTAAACACAGACAGAAATTCACAGCCCTTCCTGTGCATGTGTGGGAGGTGACGCTTTAAATGCTGTTTGCTAGTATTCGCAAGACTGATGATGGACAGAACCTACTCGCGATGCTTAGTACCAACTGAAGACGGGCATGGTGGTGCACACCTTTAATCTCAGCAAAGACAGGTGGATCTGTGAGTTCCAAGCCAGCTTGGTCTACAGAGTGAGTTCCAGGACAGCCAGGGCTACACTGAGAACATCTGTCTCAAAAAAACCAACTAAACAAACACACACACATACACACACACACATACACACACACACACATATACACACACAACTATTAACCTGACAGGTTCTAAAATCACCAAGGGGAGCAAAGTTAAGGCATGTTAGTGAACATGGTTAACTGAGGACCCAGCCTACATGTGATGAGTACTGTTCCATGGGCTCAGGTATTGGACTAAAAGGGAGAGAGAAAGATGAGCAGTGCATTCACCTGTCTTTGCTTGCTTATTGTTGAAACAACGTGACCCACTGCTCCCCCCCCCATCTAGACCGTATTCTCCAAAACTGTGAGTCAAGACAAACCCTTCCTTATGTTGCTTCTATCTGATATTTGACCACCACAACAAAAGCAACTAATATACAACATAAATCAGGGGAGCGGAACTAGAAATCAGATTCCAGCAAAGTGGGATTTTTGTGTGTTTGGTTGCTTGGTTGATTTCTGGGACAGAATTTTGCTATATAGCACAGGCTGGCCTCAAACTTGCAGCAACCCTGCCTCCAGAGTGCTGGGACTACAGGTGTACATCACCATGTCATGTCTAGCTTCTCGCTAAGTTCTTAAAGTTCAGCAAAGGTTTTAAATCTTTAGCAAAACCACAAACAAGAGCTAACCACCCTCCACCCCTAAAAAACACGAAGCACAACTTTTCTCTGTCCTGTCCATCCTCTAGAAATAAAAAAGGTAAATAGGTAAGCAGCACCACCTGGAGAAAGAAACGCTTTTTAAAGGTTTTCTCAGAGTCTGTGCCACTGGAAGAATCATGACTTAAATAAGCAGAGTGGCAGGCAGGGAACAGGAGATCTCACGAGTGAGGAGACCCCCAGTGGGATTCATGTGTACTCGGGGACTTCCCTGCTTTTAAGAAGACTAGGTCAGCCCTGTGGTTTGGCTCCGTGATACAGTACTGGCCTAGTCCGTGCAAGCCCATGGGCTTCATCCTTGGCACTGGGGAGAAGAAAAGGTGAGTGACAGAAAAAAGTCCTTTCCCCTTGTGAACAAGTTCTTATGAAAGGTGAAACAGCTCAGTGTCTACTGAATGCAAAAATAAAACTGTCTCCTTTTTACTGAACCCTTTCTCCTACTACCTGCAATAGGTTAGACCCCATGGCTTTTCTTTGGGAATTTTGAGTACCACAGGAAAAGACTGTAATCACGTGGGAGCTGGAGAGACGACTTGGTGGTTAAGAGCACTGGCTGCTCTTACAGAGGACCTGAGTTCAATTCTCAGCACCCACATGGCAGCTCACACTTGTCTGGAACTCCAGTTCCGGGGAACCTGATGTCCTCACACAGGCATACATGCAGGCAAAACACCAATGAACAGAGAGTAAAAGGAAATAAATCACTTTTTAAAAAAGACTATACTCACACTCCTTTACATACACTATTGGTAAAGTTTTTTGCTTTCTAAGACAGGGTCTTGTTTTATAACCCGGGCTGGGCTCAGACTTCTTGAGTGTTGGGACTACAGGCCTATGCCACACCTGGCCATCTAGTTTTTGACTTTCAAGTTATTATGTAAAGCAATTTTATTATAATCACCCTATCTTCTTGTACTATTTATTTTATCACATTAATTATCAACCTTGCTCAAACATTTTCTACACACAGCTTCTTCACTAGCCTCTCCATTTTTGAATGCTTGTTCAATGAAGATTAAATTAATGGCAACATCAAATAATTCATCGCACACAAGCTAAGCTGAACTCCAAACCCGAGTTCATAAGAGCTATGCAGAAAAGCGATGCTACTGCATCTTGATACTCATGAACATTTTTGTTTCCGTGGAAAATACATTCAGCCCACTGCCTGTCCCTGCCTGGTGCTTTTCGGTGTGAATTAAGTCATTTTCCTCTGTGACAATGACGTGAGTTCTATCATCTGGAGGTGGAAAAGAGAAAAAATGACAGAAAGCTGTGTTATAATTGAGCAGGAATCTGACTGAAAGGGAAATTTTCATAATTACATAAAAGTGCAGGAATTCGAGCCTTTAAGAGAAATTATGAATGCCAGCGATGGTAAGAGGAAGGCGTCTAAAAGCCGGCCCCATATTTCCATCAGACTGTGATTTAGGGCATGACTTCGGCCTCGCTGGGGCTTCCTCTCTAAGACGGTAACAGTCCCCACAGGCACGCAGGGCCTCCAGTTCTGACCCTCCCTTTGCCATGAGATGTGAGGCCTCAGGCAAAATCACTGTGCCTTCCTAGGCTCTGTCTACTCTCCGTTGATGACTGACACAGAGAGTTTCCAGACAGCAAGGCTCTCAGGGGGTTGGGCGGATCCCAGCTTGGCACATTACGTGGGTTTCAGTGTTCCAGCTCCCCAGGTACGGATAATGCTCACCCTCAAGGCTGTTCTGATTCTAAGACATTCAACCAATGGCAATGGTACATGGTAAAATGCTCACTAAATGGAAGTTGGGATTTGTTTTGTTCTGATTTTAAATGGTGGTTTGATGATGGTGGTGGCAAGGCTGCTGGCTTCCAAACACTCACTTGGGTGGATTTCAGTCGTACTTAATATCAATGTGAGGTGAAAACTAAAGCTTCATTTCATACACACCAGAGTTCAGTCAGATTCTCAGTCCCTGGTAAAATAGCACGTGATTTTTATCTGCAGCTTCATTTATTTATTTATGCAACACACTTCAGTTTAGAAAATGTTCAGCTATATTTTCTCATTTGATTTTCAAAACGAACTTGTAAGATATACAATGTGAGGCGCTGAGAATCGTGGGGTTGAGGGAAGGGCCAAGTTTTAATGTAAATTACTCAACTTTCCCTCTTTGTTAAATATGGTATCTCTTTCAACTCCAGATCTTCTTTCCACGCAATGCCAAAGCCGCTTTCCAGCTGAGTACGAGTGGCGCCCACCCTCACAGAAGGGACGGGTGTAACTTCAGTAAGAGTCAGGGGACAGGAAAAGGCAGGTCCAATACAGTATTAGCTGTAAGCACAACCCAACTGTTTTCTCCTGGCCCCCTAATCAATCCACAAACACCTCTACTTTTGGATTGCTACTGTCACAAAGGCATAGTCAAGATATAAATGCCTTCTAATATTTTCTCAGGTCCAATTATAACAGGAGACATAGAACATTCCACAGAAATTAATGACAGCCAAATGGACCCAACTTCAGATCACATCAAAGAACAGTTTGGCCTCCATCCTCCGACCACATGGCAGAGCAGGCTGTTAGGTCAAGTCTACAGAGAAATGGGCAGATACTTCTTACCTCATACAACCTCCTGACATATTCCCAGGCTTCTCCTGCAATTTCACTCATGACCTGTTAGATCCACAGGTGTCATTCTACCACACGAGGGCCAAAAAGGACCCAGCACCTACCAGCACTTCTTTTTTGTTCAGATTCCTCCAATCAAAGTATCTCAGAATATCACTATGGGGCTGTCTGTCATACAACCATGTAAAATACTAGCCACCACACTGGAAAGGTTTTTGCACCCTAACCTTGTATCACCTCCTTTACTCAACAATCCCGAGAACCAAGTGGGCGCTATCATCACCCTCCATTTGAGATTAAAAAAAGAAAAGAAAAGAAAAGAAAAAAGGAAAAATCACAAAGAGACTCAATCTCAATACTTATAACTTATCCTAAACCATGCACTGTGAGCCCAGAGTCCAGGTCCTTTGTTCCTCTTCTCTACTGACATGGTTTGAATGTGCAATATCCACCACAGGACCATTGTGTCTGCACGCTTGGCCCCCAGCTGGTGGTGCCATCTGGGGAAGTTGTAGACGCTCCAGGAGGTAAACTGAGCCTGGCTAGAGGAAGCGGGTCACTAAGGTGAGCCTTGAGGTTCTGTAGCCCAGCCCCACATCCAGTCTGTTCTCTGCCTCCTAACATATGGATGCACCTCACATTCCTGCCGGAACGCCAAGCCCCCTCCCCATGATGAACTTTTGAATTCCCTCAAACTGTGGACCACAACAACTCTCCCTCCCTTAAGTCACATCTTGCCAGGTGTTCGGCATCAGCAACAAGGAGAGAAACTTGTGTGTCTGCCCTCCCACAACACTCACGTCGTCTTCTGAAACTCTGGACGCCTGCTCTTTTATGTGTTGGTGCCACCACTTCTCAACATCCTTTCTGGTCTGGAGCGTGTACTCCTTCGTCCACTTCCCCGTGGCACTGTAAATACTTCTGGCACACCCTGGAATCGCTCTTCTTTCCCGCTGGATGACAGGTAGCCCGCGGACGAGCTGTCTTTTCAGAGGAGAGGCATAAAAACGCAGCCTCCGACAAGATGATGCCATTCTTCAGGAGGGAGGGGCCTAAGGAAGAGGGGGGAAAGAAACATGGCATGCACCACCCAGAACTCTCTCGGGGTTAAGTCTTTCCGGTCAACAACACAGCCCAGCATTTACTGCTCGTTTACACACTTTCTCTCCTCCTTTTGATAATCATTTACTAACAGAACATTCTACAAGTTCTGCTGAATTAGATACAAACTTTTTTATTGGAAAGCATAAAGGCAATCCGTGCCCTAAACACCAAAAGTACAAAACCCTCCCTCACAGAAACAAAGGGAGTGCGTCACAAAGGGCCAGTGGCCACAAGTTTCAGGCAGCATGGGAAGTGACTGAGCTCCTCCTTCCAGAGTCTATCTAGCCTATCAACGGCTGTCTGTCTGAACTCCAGAACTCTAAGCACATCTTATCTTAGCCTTGAGCTCAAGTATCAGGAGGCATCTCAACAAAGGTCTCTGAGAAGGACCAGGAATTTTGAACTAAGTTAACATCTTTCATTATACCAGGTCCACACTCTGTTCCAAGCACTACATATATAGCAACCAAGAGTCCCAGGCTGAAGAGACACAGGGTGTGTGCTCAGCATGCGTGAAGGAAGACCTGGGTTCCATTCCTAGGAAGCAAAAACAAAACACAGAGTGCCTTCTTTCACAGCAACTAAATACTGAGAAGCAGGTGAGACACAAATAGATAGTGTTGCCATTTAACTCCAGTAAAACCACCTGGGGTCCAAATTTGAATTCTGATACTTCACTCACTCAGGCAAGTGGCAGAAATGGCCTTGATGAAGAACTTTCCTACTTTTAATCTCTTTTCAGGGGCTGAGATGAGATTTCACCAAACATTTAGGATACAGTACTAAACATGCAAAACATTCTGCATTCTTGCATAACGGCAACAGGGAAGTAAAAAGACCTTCCAAACTGAGATAGGGAGACTGGCATTACAAACTGATGTCAATCATAGGATTCTCTCAGAATCCTACTAGGGTTTGGCCTGTTACATGGAGTCACTGGGTCAAATGTTGCCAGGAGGGTTGCTACAGGCTCTAAAAGAGGAATTCACACTCACATAACATGGGACTGTAGCACTGGCTTTGTTATAAACTGATCTGCCCAAGTTCTAGATATACGAATTCCCAGTTTTTTTTTTTTGTTGTTGTTGTTGTTTTGTTTTGTTTTTTTAACACTTTTTATACTCTTTTAGGGCTAGAATAAGTGACAGGCTGGAACAGGGAAGATTCCCCTATCAGCTGGGCTTGGGTATTTTAAAATAGGTAAATATGACTATTTAGGAATTAGAGTGAACTATATGATGCCAGTAATTCTATATGGTTAACTTTATGTAAGGAGGGCAATTACATTTCTTTTTAGGGCTTTTTTGAGTTCTATATTATTAGAACTATCTATGTGAATCTGAGAGTCTATGGTTTTCTTCTATTTTTGGTTGTGAGCTTAGCCTTTAATGGCTGGGCCATCTCTTTAGCTCCATTTTATACTTTTCTTACTAGATATTCTGAAATCACTTTAAACCAAAGAATGTCTATTAACAGAAGGCACCTAGACAGATACCCCACAGATACCCCACATTTCCAGAAAAAATGGAATGCAGGGGAGAGGGGGTATTGATAAGACAGATCAAATGCCAAAAAAAAAAAAAAAAAAAAAAAGATCAACTTTACTACTAATCAAATAAATAAAAACAATTAAATATCTTATCATATTGGCAAAAAAAAATGTCTGAATGAAATAATTACTTGTATATGCTCCTAGTAGGAATGTAAATTGAAAAGGCCCCTCTGAAACAATCTGGCAATGTATGTATGACAAGCCAGTAGCTTGGGAGGCTGAGGTAGGAAGATTGTCAAGACAAAGCCCAGGACAGTGGTGCACACCTTTAATCCCAGCACTCGGGAGGCAGAGGCAGGTGGATCTCTGAGATTCAAGATAACCTGGTCTACAAAGCAAGTTCCAGGTCAGCTAACACTGTTGTTACACAGAGAAACCTTGTCTCAAAAAACACAAAGCAAAAAAAAAAAAAAAAGTTCCAGGACAACCTGGGCCAGGAGATGCAGGGAAGCTTGGGCTATATAAGGAGACCCCATCTTTAAACAAACAAACAAACAAGGAACAAGAGACATTGCCCAGCAGTTAATAGAACACACTGCTCTTGCACAGGATCCCAGTTTGGTTCCCATCACCCACAACAGGTGGCTCATAACTGCCTATGACTCCAGCCCCAGGGAGATCTGATGCCTATGGCCTCCATAGGCATTCACACTCAGAGACAAATGATTAAAAATAAACCTTAAACAAAACAAAGACAAGTCCATTAAGAAAATCCAAGTGTTGGGCATATTAAACAGATGTTCAGCATATCCTTGGGTTCAATCCTCAGCACCAAAAACTAAACAAAACTAATGAATAGGGCAAGTAAGGAGGCTGGGGATATAGCGTGGTAGAGTAATTCCTTGGCGACACTGGAGGCCTCTGGTCCCATCCCCAGCTGTGCAAATAAATAAATAAAAAGTCCACACTCTTAGGCATAGGCCCAAGATCACCCTCAGAGTCTTATTCATTAGAATGTACTAGGAACAAATAGTCTGTACTTTACCTATGAGTTTAGAGAACCTTTGAGTTCCAACCCTGTTCTCACCTTTTACGTCCTAGGCATAGTTCTGGGCCCACTTCAAGTACCTCTCCCTGGAAGTTCTAATTGGCATTGCCTCGTCCCGGCATCAAGAATAGCCATTTTAGCAGAGGGTGGTGTGGATACATTGAATGGAAAACATATGACTGGCATCCTACATTTACAATCAGCGAGGACCCTTTCTTCCTTAGCTCTGGCTCATCTTCTTTACCTGCTGGAATGTCGTCTCTTCTGCCTCTTTCTGTACTTTTCCCCAGTGCTCCTCTTTCAATTCAGCCCTGACCTGATCTCACTTTATGTGGGACTCATGGTTAAAGTAACTGAGAATATGAGGGACCTGAGAAATGGGTCTAAAATGATGATCATAAACAGGGAAACCTAAGGAGAAGCACATTAACCATCCACATGCTCTCAAAAGAACATGCAAGAAACCTAATCAGAGGCAGAGGCTGGAGTATGGGAGGTTTGGGACCAGCTTCAATAGAACCCTATTTCCAAAACCGGAAGAGGAAACCAAATTAGGTCAGGAAGATGGGTGTGTGCCCATGATCCCAACACTCAGAAGGCTGGACAGGCTTGATTCTAAGTTCAAGACCAGCCCGGGCTACATATTAAGCTCAGAACAACTTGGAATAAACAGCAAAACCCGGTCTCAAAGGAACAAAGCAAGTAAGTAAACCCACCCCCAGCAAACGCATTTTGCAAAACACGGTGTTAAAAAACAGAAGCTAAGTGTAATCTCCTGCAGGACCTCAGGCGTGTCATTTCCAATCTGGAACTCCTTCTCTAAAGCCGTGAGCCTGTAAGGTGGTATGTCCAGATGACTTCTGAGGACCTGCAGGTCCTAGCACACTGTGGATCCCCCAAATGTACTATTGCATGATCTCTTACTGGGCCCAAACCCCCAACTCCGGGGCGAAGACCTAGGGATCGGGGTTAGGCAAGGGGTAGAGGAGAATTCAAAGTCATGAGAAGGTGTGCGTTTCTACAAGCAAGAGCTGTCAGCGTGGTCCATGGCTGGATGAACCTGCAAACTAGACCCTGGAGCTTTTCCGGGTTTGGAAAACTGCAAGGTCCAGGGATTGCCAGTTCGCACATTCACCTCCTGCCCTGGCAGTTGGGACTAGGCAGGGCCTGTCTCTCGTCCTCCTGAGCCCCAGCTGGGGCTTACCTGCTCACAGGCTCTGGCCTGCAGCTGCCTTCTGCCTCGTTCCCCAAAGCACTACACGAACGAAGCCCCGCGAGTCACTGTGGGCGCCGCCATGTTGTCAGAACAACAACTTTATCAGCAGCGGACACAGACAGGGGAGGCGGAGCCAGGAAGGAGGAGCAGACTCCGCCCCCACCCCCGCTCCGGGCCGGCCCCGCCCCGGTCTCTCTCAGGCCCCGCCCAGGCCTCGCTCTCTGTGCAAGCTTTCCAGACTTGAATAAATTCTACTTGCCTGTGCGGAAGTCACATTATTTATTGCAATTGTGGCAGAAACGGGAGATGCTAAAGGATAAAGGCGGCAGGCGGTAAAAAGAGCTCTGGAGTGGTTCAAGGTCAGAAACTGCCTCCTGGGCTGGTTTGGCTCACTTTTTGATCCATTGTAGGCCTGGTGATTGCTTGTTGAAGCACTTTCATCTGCCATGATATAAGCCCAGGAGGAGAATTGCGTAGCCCCGAGGAGGGTAGAAGTAAAGTAGATAGGAAAGCAAGCTGCCTCAACAAACCCTCCTTGGGGATTTAAAGTACCCCATGGCCCTGCACATGTCAGAGCAAGTACTTAAGGCTTGTAATAAACTAAGGAATTTCAAAGGAGCAATGATATCTTTTTAAGGACGAATTCTAAGAACGCATGTGAGAAGTCCAGGATACTGAGATTTGGTAATATTGCAAAATGATTGATGTCCTAGTCTCCATCTTAGATCCTGTCCTTACATAGATGAATGTAGTCCATAAGGAGGCCAGCAAGGGTGCACTCTCCTACAGAGCAAAACTTTCCATTCTGTGTGCCACCCAGGGACACACAGCAACCTTTTATCCGTTTCCAAGACTTAAAAAAAAAAAAAAATTCCTGATACCTGAAAGCTTGAAACACCATTTTACTCTAGAACAGCATCAAACCTCATCTGGAAAACAAAGGATCTCAGGCTCCATTCTGGGAGCCTGTTTTCAGAGCCTGCATTTCTTTTAACATGAGCCAAGAGTTCAAGTCCGAGATGCACTATGCTAGAATGTGAGAGATTTTGAACAATAAAGTAGCTTTCTCAGTTTGCAGATATATAAATTGAGGCACAGGACTGGGCATGTGGCTCAGTTGGTTCACACAGACAGCCCTGGATTCGATGCCTAGCACTGCATAAGCCAGATCCCGTGGTACA